ACAAAGCTTGATTAACAGTCTGACCTGGTGGAATGCACTGCAAGCCAACATTTTCATACCTTCAGGAAGTTGATAGACATACAGAACGAGGTTTGTCATCAATCAACATTTCACCTTTTTTGAAACGAGAAAACCACTCATACACTTGAGTTTTTCCCATAGCGCCGTCCTTGTAAGCTGCGTTCAACATCACAACTGTTTCTATGGCATTTTTCCCCCAGCAGGAAACACAGTTTCACAGTTGCACACTGTTCCCCTAAATCAGCCATCACAAAAAAAGGTTCAAGCAAAAACTGCTTTTACCAAAAAAACTCACTGTGACCCAGAGAGAACCATCCCAAGCGACGCCCCTGGGTGCACTAACTCAGCTCACCTAGTAGGAAAAATGAGTACTACGAAACTCCCATCCGCCCAGCACAGTTCCCCTGGTGTTTTGTGTTTTTTTTTTTTTTGGGGGGGGGTAGGGTAGGGGCTCCCTCGTGTATATGTAAAACTGCTTGTTAACAAATGTGTGTTTATCATGTAAAAATGTTACTGTTCAGTGCCATCTAGTTGATTCTGAGTTACAGTGCCTATGCCACCCGCATAGTGTTTGAACCTGTTGTAGCCACTGTGTGTCAGCCCACCTTGTCAAGAGTCTTCCTCTTTTTCACTGAATAAGTCCTTGATAACTGCATTCTTTTTCTGTTTATCCTGATGTCACCTACTGGTTCAGTTGTGAGGATTTTTAAAAATTTATTTACATTGGACTGTATTCCATATCAAAGGCTGCAACCTTAATCTTCATCAGTAAGTGCTGCAATTTCTCCTCATTTTCAGCAAGCAAAGTTGTGTCATCTACATATTGCAGGTTGTTAATAAGCCTTTCTCTAACCCTGATGCTGTGTTTGTCGCATAATACAGCTTCTCTGATGATTTGTTCAACATACAGATAGAATAAATATAGTGAGAGACTACAACCTTGACACACACCTTTCTTGATTTTCAAACGTACAGTTTCCTTTGTTCTGTTCAGACAACTGCCCCTTGATCCACGTGCAGGTTCCACACGAGCACAATTACTCATTCACTGCTATTGAGTCCATGCTGACTCCTAGTAACCCCTCCAGGGTAGGGTAGAACTTCCCCGGGGGTCTACTAGACTAACTATGGGAGTAGGAAGCCCCATAAGTGTTCTGCAGTTTCTATGCTTGTCAAGGCTATCCTTAGTTTTCTTAAGATCCACACAGTCAAATACCTTTGCATAGTCAATAAAGTAAGCAGTATAATAAATGATGGAAAATACAGCTATTAAACTTTATATTGTCCACTAATTTTTGTAGACATCTGAGTTGAGTTCTAGAAAAGAAATGATTTAAATATTTTCAGGAGTTGGTAAATATTCACAGTTTATTTCTATTCATTAAAAACTTAAGAAATTTGCCTTGGGCTTCAAATTGTTCTCAATATCCAGGTAGAGCATAGCTTTTAGATTACTATTTAAATAAACAGCTAGCTTTAAAACTAGTATAATACATTGTTTTTGTGAAAAATATTACTCATGACTGAAAAAGGTGTATGCAAATTTTAGGGTAATGATTTATGTTCGATGGTGCCTTTAGACCAATGATGAAGCAGCTCTTCTTTTTTTTCTTTTTTTAAAAATCATTTTATTAGGGGCTCATACAACTCTTATCACAATCCATACACACATCAATTGTGTAAAGTGCATTTGTACATTCATTGCCCTCATCATTCTCAAAACATTTTCTCTCCACTTACACCCCGGCATTAGGTCCTCATTTTTCCCCTCCCTCCCCGCTCCCCCCTCCCGAAGCAGCTCTTCTAAGTGATTTTAATAGTAAATTAAAAAATCAGGATCAGTGACATTATTTGTACAATAGAAACTAGCATGGTATTAGTAATGTATATTAGTAATTAGTATTATTAACAAAACAATACTTTGTTAAGCTAGAAAACAAATGAATTGTTTTTGTTTATTTAGGGAAGCCTTAAAAGACCTTTGAATCATTGTTACTAATGCATTGTGCCCTGACTTTTCATTTTGAATGAGTATCTTCAAATTTATTCAAATATGCTTAATATATCATATGTAACTAATCATACCTAATTGTTTTTCAGATTTATAGCTACCTCGACAAGTATGTTGTTGGCCAGTCATTTGCCAAGAAGGTGCTTTCAGTTGCTGTGTACAATCACTATAAGAGAATATATAATAACATCCCAGCTAATCTGAGACAGCAAGCAGAGGTTGAAAAACAGACTTCATTAACACCTAGAGGTTAGTGTTTTTGATAATGAACCCAACAGCGATTGCTACGCTTGGAGACAATCTTTATTTGTGGCCCCTTGTTTTAGTGATACAGTGTTCTTCAAACATATCACTTTCCAATAGCAGGTCAGGAAATCATTTTGATTGGTTGCCAGTAGTATTTAAAAGAACATGTAGTATGTAAAAATAGACAGTTTCAGAGTACATTAATTTGTAGTCGAGGTAAATGGTACTTCTTGAAACTTTTATTTTCATTTATTCAGTGTCTCAAAAAGTATTAGCCAGTGGGATAGAGATTGGGCGGTTATTGTTGACCACAAGCACATCACAACAATGCAATGTGCTACTTCTAGCTAGTTCTTCTTTTTGGGGTTCAGAATATAGAATTTCACTTGCCCAAGTAAGAGACATGTGGAGATGGCTAATTGTCAGGTAGCATACTCATCACTTTTGAGCCTCAGCTGCCGAGTACAAGGAAAAGGGCAAGTGTAGAAATGATTCAAAGTGCAGTTTCTGTAAATGATAGATTCTGAACAACCAATGCACTATATAATCTCAACTTACTGTGCAGAATAATGTATACAAGGGGGTTTTAAAAAGTTTTGGGCAAAGTTATCATATTTTGATTCCATTTTTCCACTCTTTGAGGCACCTGTGTTATTAGTAGAATGATATTATTATTATTATTTTTAATCATTTTATTGGGGGCTCTTACAACTCTTATTATAAACCATACATCAGTTGTATCCGACATATTCGTACACATATTCCATTGTTCTTCTCTAGACATTTACTGTCCATTGAGTCATTGAGATCACCTCCTCTTTTTTTCCCTCCCTCCTCCCTGTGCCTCCCCCGCCAACCCTCGTGGCCCCCTGATAGATTGTAGATTCTTAATTATTTTCAAATCTCACTCCGACAACTGTCTCCCTTCCCCTCTGGTTTCTGTTTTTCTTCTCCCTGGCTGGGGGTGTTTGGTTATGTGCCATTCATTGTGATTGGTGCCCACTTCCCTCCCCCCCTTCCCCCACCTTCTCCCACCCTTTTGGTATCTCTATTCCCATTTCTCTTCCTGGGTTCCATGTGTTGGGAGTTTTATCTCTGGCCTATACTTATGTACATGCTCCGGTCTAGTCTAGATTGGGAGGCAGCACTGAGGTCAAGATAGTGTGGGGTGAGGAGGCCTCCAGGGAACAGAGGTATATTGCGTGACCCATTAGTGCTGTACTGCACCCTGATCGACTCATCCTCTACCTGCAACCCCTCTGGGGGTGAATGTTCCATTGTTTATAGATGGGCTTTGGGTCTCCACTGCAGCCTCCCTTCATTCTCACCAATGCATTTTTGTGTGTTTGTTTACTGTTTGTTGCGTATCTTCTGATGCCCGTTGCCCAGTCTCTATGACACCTCACAATCACACCGGCTGGTGTGCTTCTTCCATGTGGGCTTGTTCACTGTTGGATGGCCGCTTGTTAAACTTCAAGCCTTTAAGACCCCAGACAATATATCTTAATAGCCAGGCACCATCCTCTGTCTTTACCATATCTGCTTATATACCCATTTTGTCTTCATCGATGGTGTGTGTGTGTGAGCATCACAGAATGCCAAAGGGTTCTTGTATTGAGGGAAGGTATGAGCCGAGGCCCAAGGCCCGTCTGCAGCTTCAGTGTATTGCCTTATAAATATATGTACATAGGCCAATACCACTATTGTTATGGATTAATGTATTTGCATAAGCACACACCTCTGTTAAATCTCCCTGTATTAGTCTGAGTACTTTAGAGACAAATCCATAGAGACTCATGTATAAGAGAGAGTTTTATATAAAGGTTAAGTGCACATCAAGAAAACATCCCAGCCCAGTGCTGCCCAAACCCACAAATCCACAGACATCAATCCACAAGTCCTCCATCTCACAAAACAGACACAATGATGCCGACTGCAGGGGGAAAGCCGAGTCAGTGAATGTGTAAGCATCTCTGCGCTGGCAGGGGTCTCCACACGGCTGCTCCAACACCCAGGGCTGCATTGGGGTAGGTCCATGTGGCTTCTCCTCAGGGATCTGGCTAAGGCAGTCAGTCTTGCAAGCTGAAACAGGGAACTGGCTAAGGCAGCTGCACCCTGTTCCGACCATCACAAAGCAAGAGACCCGAGAACTGTAATGTTGGGTTTAAATCTTACTTTTTTGAAGACTTAATTTATTTATTTATATTTAAAATCATTTTATTGGTGCTCTTACAGCTCTTATAACATTCCAGACATCAGTTGTACCAAGTATATTTGTACATATATTGCCATCATCATTTCCACAACATTTTCTACTTGAGCCCTTGGTATCAGCTCCTCTTTTTTTTATCCCTATTACTCTCTTTTAAAGAGATACCAATTAAAAATTTTAAATGTCAGATCATAGATAGTCATCATGAAGCATTTTGTTTTGATTTTTAAATATAGAATGGGTAGAGCGTATAGATTCTTCCATAATGTGAAAAACTGAATACAAAGTTAATGAACAACACATCTATTAAATATACTTGGATGAGGGCCAGCAGTGGGATACTCCTTATATTATTCTCCCAAACTAAACAAGGATGTAATATTTCGTTATCTTTCTCAGAGTTGGAGATCAGAAGACGGGAGGATGAGTACAGATTCACAAGTGAGTGACCTCTGCCAAGGCTGTCCTCTGCAGTCCTTCTTCCTCGGGATTTGCCAGTGAAGGTTGTCAGCAACAGCAGTAGCCCTGTATTCTTTGTGCAGTGCCCAGGAAGATAGATGTTGTCCAGATGTCTGCATCATAAATGGCATATGTTACCTTGGGGTATTTCATGGATACATTGTGTGATTTCTATATGATGGGTTATCTCAGCTATCGATTTTCTCTTTTCTGTTGTGATATTTCTTAAGCATAATTTGGTATCTATTTCTCAGAGTTGGTGTAAGTTCCTCCTGCGTATTTACAAGTGTTATTTATTTTTTATTATTATTGGGGGCTCGTACAATTCTTATCACAATATATACATATATCCATTGTGTCAAGCACATATGTACATTCACTGCCCTCATCATTCTCAAAAAAGTGTTATTTTTAAAATCTAGCTTATCTTTTTGTTTTCCAGACTCCTGTTAGGGTTGGTCTATTTACCTGAGGTTCCGGTTATTCTGTGTCCACACTTTGCCAGAAACCGGATATGTTCTTTATTTTGGTTTTTGTGAAATTGACTGTAGCACATTACAAATAAGTCCAGCTCCTTCTTTCCTGTCGTGGATTGCCCCCAAAAGCTTCAGATGGTCTGAGAGAGGGTGTGAAGGGCCTCATGCATTAAGGAGAACGGCCATTCAGATGTCATGCACTCACTTCTTTAGAGGTGGGTGTGGGAGCTACCCAGAGAGTGAAGGTTCCCGGGCTGTGATAGAAAGATCCACATAGCCTCCTGTTTCAGTATTTAGGGTAATAAAACTTTTAAATGTTAATAGATAAATCAGGGTAATATGTTTTCATTAGCAACTTTGATACTTTTACATTAGTCTTTGAAGCAAGAAGTATTATGTCCACTATTTGAAGTGCACTAAATATATACACGGGACAAGCCATGAGAAGAATCAGCTCTGGCATGATATTTATTACATGTAATAGCGTGATAATTACCCTAGACATTTTTTATTATATAGAAATATAATTACACTGTGCATAAATGCATAGGATTAAGAGATAGAATAGAGTAGAATTACACTATTATATATAGCATATATAGAAAAGCAAACTCTCTGCCAGCGAGTCGAGTCCTACTTGTAGCGACTCTGTAGGACAGGGTAGAACTGCCCTTGTGGGTTTCCAGCCTGTAACTCTGTACGGCAGGAAGCTTAGTCTTCCTCCTGCAGCAGACGATGGTTTCACACTGCTGGTTTTGAGGTTAGCAGTCCAATCAGTGTGAATGTCTCTGCCACCAGGGCTCCTAGACACTTCATATAAGAAACACCAGAACCCAGCGCCACTGCCCTCTAGTTGATTCCAACTCACAGTAACTCCGGATAGGGTTTCCACGGCTGTACATTCTTAAATGAGCAGACATCCTCAACTTTGCCCCACACAGTTGCGGGTGGATTTAAACTGCTGACCTTGTGACTGGCACTCCAACATTTACCCGACAGCACCACCAGGGTTCCATATATAAGAAAACCCCAAAATTCACTGCCATGGAGTTGATGCCAACGCATAGCAACCAGGGTTGAACTGCCCTGTGAGTGTCTAAGACTTAACTCTTTATGGAAGTAGAAAAAACAAGGTCTAAGTAATAAATTTAGCTGTGTTGTAAATACAATAGAAACTTGGAGTAATGACTTAAAACTAATATACATTAGTAAAGAAAGTCAATAATGAATGAATATTTTGAAAGAAATGTGTTGCATGTATTGATTTTATAAGACTTAAATATTAAGTAATATTGTTTCAGAACTTAGGTATAATGAAGTTTAATGATATTAAATGAGTATTTAGAAAGCTTAAATATAATTTATTTTTAGATTTTAGATGATAAAGATAGGGCATTAGACCAGAATCATATGTAGCTAAAAGGATTCTTGAAATCTCTTGGAAATTGCATGTTAGATACCCACATACTGGTTTGTTTGTTTTTTAAACATTTTATTAGGGGCTCATACAACTGTTATCGCAATCCATACACACATCAATTGTGTAAAGCGCATTTGTACATCATTCTCAAAACATTTTCTCTCCACTTAAACCCCCCGGCATTAGGTCCTCATTTTTCCCCTCCCTCATGAGCCCTTGATAGTTTATAAATTGGTATTTTGTCATATCTTGCCCTGTCCGACGTCTCCCTTCACCCACTTTTCGGTTGTCTGTCCCCCAGGGAGGAGATCACATATAGTTCCTTGTAATCGGTTCCCTCTTTCCTACATACGCTCCCTTTACCCTCCCTGTTTCGCCACTCACACCACTGGACCTGTAGGGCTCATCTGCCCTGGATTCCCTGTATTTGCAGTTCCTATCTGTCCAGTGTACATCCTCTGGTCTAGCCAGACTTGCAAGGTCGAATGCGAGTCATGGTAGTGGGTACAGGGAGGAAACATTTAGGAACTAGAGGAAAGTTGTATTTCTCATCGTTGTTACATCGCACCCTGACTGGCTCATCTCCTCCCACTGTTTGTAGTGAAATTGATAGAACCACTTTTTCTGTGACATTGGGATATAATGTTGTGTCTTAGGTTGCACATCAGATAAAATAATTGGCTTGAGTTTAAGGATTATGCTATATAAATCATTAAACATTAGAAAAATAGCAATAATAACAGCTAGTTCTTCTAGTGCACTTAGAGAACAATCTGCCACACGCTGTTGTAAATGTTTAACATATACTGACAGATACTGTTTATCCTTTTTCAAGTCCTAATATTTTTACCCCCATTTTATAGATGCAAAAGCCCAAACACAAGCATCTTAAGTAATTTGCCCACATCTGATGAGCTTTGTGTATCTAACCACTATTATAGGTGGCTTTCTTCTTTTCATTGTAGAGAACTTCTTATTGCAATGAGAGGTATAAGGAACAGAGAACACGAGAGACATTTCAAGTTGACTGTGGGCCTTATAAAATAGAATGACAGAATCGTCTGTACTGTTTAAATTTTTATAAAACAATTATTGAGTATGTATTTAATGTGATTCCATTATAATTAATATGCCTCTTGTAATTTTGTTTAAAATGATCACCTAAATAATGTTTCCCTCGCTGGGCAGAGCTAAATTTGAGCTAAGCTCCTTCTTTGTTGTCACAATTCCTGACTAGATTTTACTGAAATAAGGATAGCTTTGCCGTGTCACCTAGAAAAACGGCTGCACTCAGAGGGAACCACACTTCCTGCGCTGGGTTAAGAGCCATGCAGTGTGATGAATTAGTCACTAATTATGAATCCTCAAATGTGGCAAAATGTAATCAAAATGTTTAGAGGACGCCTACTTTTGATAAATGTAATAACCCTTTATATTAAGCATTACTCTAAGCTGTTTTGAAAGTGACAGCCAGAGAGACTGGCACCATAGTAATTGTTATGTCTGCTGAACTATGATTGTCTTATTTAAAACAATACTACACTGGAAAGTGCTTACCCTAGTTATTAGAAATAACCTAAGGATAAACTGAAAGAATATACCTCCCCACTGACATTGAGTTGATCCCGACTAAGAGTCACCTTGCAGAGCAGAGTAGAATCACTTCTTTGGGTTTCCAAGACTCTAAATCTTTAGGAGAACAGAAAGCCTCATCTTCTTCCCTCAGAGGAACTGGTGGGTTTAAACTGCTGACCTTGCAGTTAGTAACCAACACATAACCTACTGTGCTACTAGGACTTCAGAGGATATAAACGTATGTACTATGATTATAGTTACCTAAAAGATGCAGAGAATCAGTTACAGTCTGGATATTTGCACATCACATAATCAAGATTCACTTTTGTAGGAACACAGCTGACAGACTGACACTTCACTGGCAGTATCAAAGCTCATCTAGTTAAGTCGTGGATTTTTATTAGAAGGACTAGAAAGATCTAGTTGATCCTATAAGATTGTAGATTCAGATCAGATTTACCATATTTGGTTTCTCTAGTAGTATTCCTGAATAATTTTTAGGGGTAGAAGGGACTGTAGGTATGGAAGGAACAATCGAGATCATTGGCTTCAATTTTTTACTTGACAGGTAAAAGACTGGGTCCAGGACAGTGGCATGGCTTGCCATGGTCTCATAACTATGCAGCAACAAAATTAAGACTGAATCCTCCAGTTACCTAGTTCAGTTCAGTGCCTCGCCTAACCCAGCTTCCTTTCACTATGACAGGGAGGATGGCTGTATATTTTTGTTTAATCTTCCAAAGTGCCTCCAAATCAATTACATTCTTTTAAACCCTCTTCTAACCATATATTTGAAATGGATAGAGACCTATTATTGCCATTTTATAAAATAGGAAACAAAACTCAAAAGAGTGAAAAGAATATGTAATACATTATAATCATTGCATGTTGGACCTCTGCCACTTGATAATTTGTTTGTTTGCTTTGTTTTTCTCCTCTTTTCTTTTTAGGTAAGTTTTTT